AGCGGAAAGCACCATTTGCTGAGGCCTGCCCATGGGCTCTGGGGCCCAAGTACCTGCATTCACATCCTGCCCCACCTCACTTGTGGGTCCCTGAGCCTCAGTGTCCCCATCTGTCAAAAGGGAATAATATTAGCTTGGACCTCATAGGTCTGTTGTAGGGATCCAATGAATTCACTGTAGACCCTGATGCATATTTGTGGAATGCTTAAATGGGTGAATGTGAAGTGTCTAGAACAGGGCCTGGTACACAAGGCAGTGTCCAAAAAACATTACTATTATTAGTGTTTGGAAGCAAAACAGGACCCCCCAAAATGGAAAAACAGAAAGTCCAAAGATGCTAAACCGGGAATGTTGGTAGGCCGATTAATCTACACATCAGATTTGGGGACAAATAGACCCAGCTGGAGCTTCCAAAGGTGGTCAGTCGAGAGGAGGGGTTGTTAAACCACCCCATGGCACTGAAAGCTGCGTCTGAAGAGGGGGTGAGGGGCAGGGCTGGACCTGGGGAGGCTGAGATCTGCCGTGTCCCCACGGCCCACGGCCGGCTGGGGCGGGGCCTTTGTTGACTCAGCGGGACACTTTCCACAATGCCCAGAGGACATAGTCAGGACGCAGCCAGCCACACTTGGCCCAGCCAAAACCCACGCTGGCTTCCCTGGGCTCCCAGCTGGCTGCCAAGGCAGGCCCCGCACCCGAGCAGCTACAAGATACGCAGGGACCCTCATTCAAAAATTAGTCATTATTAAGAAATTCAAGATGGTGACTGTAGTGGATTCACCCAAGCTTGGGGCCTTTTTGAAGGAGGACCCCTGGCACCTGCATGGGTCACACACTTGTGAGGTTGGCCTTGTACCCAAACCCAGCCAGCAGGGATGTGCCATTAGGAGCCAGCCCTTCTTACTGGCATGGACAGGATCTTTTCTCTCTAAAGATCCCCCTGTGGTAGATCCAGCCCATGCTTGCTCTGGGCAGACAGCAGCACTGTACTGTCTGGACAGCCTGAAAGGCCTGTCCTGGTGGTCACCTGAGGGCATACACCCATTTCACAATCCTCTGCCCTATAACCAGGTTGGGAAATACGTCCCGAACCCCAGACTTCCTGGGACCGTGAAGATCCCTTTGCTCTTCCCCACCCCCCGCCCAGGGGTTTTCCTTGGGCACCTGCTGCTCCTGGCCGGGGACTCCCCCCCCACTCCCTGTCCCCCCTGCCCTGAGAGGCCACTTCTTGGGCTCCAGCTTCATCCAGACCACGTCCCTTGGTAATGTTTCCGGCTCTGTACTCAGCGCGTCTCTGAGACCATCACCTGGACTTATATGTTTCCACATTTGTTGTCTGTTTCCCCTGCAAACACAGGAGCCCCAGGGGGGAAGGGGCTTGTTCCTGGCTCTAGGAAGATGCCCAGGATATAGGAATTGAACAAAATGCCACCTTCTCAGGGTGGGCTTCCCTGATCACCAACCTGGCCTCTAGCACATCAGGACCATATCTGAAGTTACTTAGCTTCACTATGGGTTTGCATGTGAGTCTCTAGGCTCTCCTGCTCCCTATCCTATGTGACTCTCCCCACGTCACATGAGGGTGGGGATTTTGTGTTGTTTCTTGCGCTGTGTCCGGGACCTACCTAGCTCACAGCCTGGCACTGAATAGGTACACAATATTTGCTGCATGAATGAAGGAAATTTCTTTCCCTGACTTATGGCCTCCCTCCCATGGACTCAAACTGGTCCAGCAGAGGTGGCCCACCCTTCAGCACCCACACTCCCAGTAGAGTGAGTGCTCCCACACCACACCGCTCACACCTTGGCCCTGTCACATGACCCTGGACAGAATCAGTGAGCTATGAACTCTTCTTCCTGTGCCTGGCCTGACGGTGGGCTCTGTCTTCCTCCTCACTGAATTCCCCACACCACAGTGCCTGGTACAGAGAGGGCACTCAGATTCAGCAAATAAAAATGCAAGACATACAGTTAAATGTGAATTTCAGATAAGCAACACATAAATTTTTAGTACAAGTATATCCCAAATATTGCACGGGATATACTAAAAATTATTTGTGATTTATCTGAAATTCACATTTATCTGGTGGCCCCAGGCACACTCAAAGCCTCCCGTGAGTGTGGGTTCTTAAGCGTATGCTTCTCCCAAAGCAATTCTGTCCTTTCCTACTACCCACCTTAGCCGAGGATGCTGTCATGGGGTGAAGCCTTCCCAGTTGCCAGTCCTCTCATCGAAAAACAGGAAAATAAAATGACGATAGTTCCTCCTTCCCCTGGTTGCCATAAGGATTACATGACATAACCACTAGCACATATTCAGCCTCTTACACACTTTCACGGCATGGACTCCTTCATTCCTCACCATCACCCCAGCCAAGGACACCATCAGGGATGCCATTTTGCGGAGGAGGTAACTGAGGTGGGACAGATGAAGGGACTTGCCAAGGTCATGTGTCCCACCCATCTTTAGAGATGCGGTTGTGACCACCATGCTTGACACCCCACTTTAGGCCTCCGGGCAGAACCAACTTTGGAACCAGGGCACTTGCCACGGACCAGTCACAGGTGCCACCAGGCGCAGATGCCACGAACCAGTCGCAGGTGCCACCATTAGAGCAGGGATGCCACACTGCAGGCGCTCAGTAAACGTGGCCAGTGCTCTTGTCCCAAGGCAGATCAACCAGAGGTCGATGTTGTGGCTAAGGTGTTTTTTGTTTGTTTGTTTTTGATCCGTTGAATTCACTGGTTAGTTTTGCCTGCTGGTGGTTCAGCCTTGATTGAGGAAATACTGCTTCATTTCCAAGGCAATCAAAGTGCAGGATTTTTCACTGCCAGACAGCCAGAGCCTCTGCGAGAGTTTGAGAGGACAGGGGTTGTTCCCGGAGTCCTGAATTCCGGGCACGTAGGGCTGGAGCTCCTGAGAGTTTGTTGAGTAAGTGAAAGGAGGGGCTACGACAGTGGTCTTCTTTGGCCCAGGAAATGAGTGGGACCCACACTCATCCCCAGGCCCAGCCTACATTGTTAGGGTCCCCCGAGCAAGAATCAGGATCCACCCCCCCCCCCGGGCTTTTCCTCCAAGCTGCAGAGGCCAAATGGCAGCGAGACCTCCCCCGTTCGGGACCTGCAGGTGAAATCTGTCCCTTCTCAAGCTAGGGGCTGAGACTGTCCTGGCGGCTCAGGCCCTGAGCGCTTCCCACCTCCTAGTCCCTGGGGTTGGGCACTCTGAGAACGAGCCTCCCTTCCCAAACAAATGATGGTCAGTACCTTTGAACCTTCCTCTGTGTTGGGCAACCCCCAAGGCTCCTGCATAAACCCGGAACACCCAATCACCCATGAGCTGAAGTCCTCTACAAAAAGTTCTCTGCCTGCCCTCTTAAGAGAGCAAGAGGCATCGCTGTGACCAGCAGCCGGGAGAGATCACACCCACTTCCTGGGCTGGCTTTCTCTGGATTCTGCAAGTCTCTGGTCTGGTTACCCTCTCTTAAAAGGAAATAATAATTTTTAAACACCCCTACACCCCCCCAATACAAAAGGAATCTCTGCTCCTTACTAAACTCCAGTAATTGCCAGGGTATGTGGATATTTGAAGAAGGAGAAAACTATGTGAGGGTGCAGATACCCCCGGAGACCTGCCTTGTGTGAGAACCAGGCTCCTCCATTGTGTGGCCCTAAGCAACCAACTCCCCAGGCCAGTTCCCAAGTGTTCAAAATGGGGATAACAACATTCCTGCCTCTGGAAGTAGGAATCAGGCTGAGTTAATATGTGGTAAGTTTCTGGCCCAAGGTAGGCACTCCACAAGTGCAGGTAAAATACATAGAGATTTAGGCAAGAGTCTCGGAGGGGACACACCAAATTGTTGAAGAGTTTGGAGGTGTGTCAGGGAGAGGACCCCAGACGTAAAATTTTCATTTATTTTTAAACCAGGAGAATGTGTTCTTGTAGCGCTTGTGTAATTAAAACTTAATGAAATAAAAGTATACCCCCGCACTTCCTCCCCCGCCCCCTTTTGAGCTCCGGAGGCGCGTCCCCACAGCCGGTGGCCTTTCGGGCAGCAGACAATGGGAGTGGATTCGCCCCGGGCCCCGCCGGCTGGGGCGTTACACAAGTCCCCGACACGTATTTACATGACAAGGGCTCCCGGGCGTTTCTCCGAGCGGTCCGGGGCGTGTCTACGCGAATTCCAGTGTGACCTAGTCGACCTCCTTGGGGTCGGGTTAAAGTGCGCAGGGGGCGCAGGGGACCAGAGCACTCGTGGGGCTGCAGACCTGGAGGCGGAGAGCTTCCTATGAAATCAGGTAATGGGTGATCTGGAGGACTTCCCCCATCTTCTCCAATTCCCCGTACCCAGAGTCCAGGGACCTCCTTTGGGAGGGGACAGGCTTCCCCTAAACCCGGGTCAAGGATTCCGGGGTCCCAGAACGCACCCGCAACTCGCGGCGTTGAGGGTGGGAAGGAGTCCCGCTTCCCCGGACCCGCGTGTTCAGGCCAGGGGTTCCAAACTGACCCCAGTAGGGGCGGGGACGCTGCACCCCTCCTCCTCCCCGCTGGTCCCGGGTCTACGCGGTCCGCCTAGCTCTGGCCCTTTAAGAGCCCGCCCCCTTCCCTGTCACCCCGCCCCGCGGCCCGGGAAGGGGGTGCGGGGGAACCTCGGCGGGGATTGGCGCAGCGCGCGCCCCCTCCCCGGCCCCCGCGCGGTGGGAACCGGCAGCCCCGTCTAGCGCTGACGTCAGACCGTCTGCCTGCCTCCGACCGCGGTCTCGGAGCGAAACCCGATCTCCTTGGACTTGAATGAGGAGGAGGCGGCGGCGGAGGCGCTCGGCTGCGGGAAGCCAGCAGCAGAGGCTCAGCCCCGGCGGCAGCGCGCGCCCCGGCTGCCAGCCCATTTCCCGGACGCCACCCGCGGGCACTGTTGACGCCCCCGGGGCTGCCGAGGGGCGGCCGGGGGGCGCAGGGGAGCGCGGCCCCGCGCACTGAGTCCCGCGGCGCCCCGGGAACTTGGCGGCGCCCCGAGCCCGGCGAGCCGGGGTGCGCCTTCCCCGCCGCGCGCCTCCTGCATGCGGGGCCCGAGCGCCGGGCGCCGGCCGGAACCCCCCCCGGCCGCCCCCGTGCCCCCTGCGCCCCGCGCCGAGCAGCCGCGCCGTCCATGCACCGCTTGATGGGGGTCAACAGCACCGCCGCCTTCGCCGCCGGGCAGCCCAATGTCTCCTGCACGTGCAACTGCAAACGCTCTTTGTTCCAGAGCATGGAGATCAGTGAGTGACCCCGCGCACCCCTCCCCTGAGGCCCCGTCCGGCTCGGACCCCGAGTCCAGGCGCAGCTGCGGGCGGGGGCCCCGGCCGTGCGCGCCCCCTCGGGCCGTGCGCCCTGCGCCCCGGGCGCGCCCTCCTGGCTCGCGGCAGCTGGCGGCCGGCCCGGCTTTGTCCCGCGGCGCGGCGAGCCTGGCACGGCCCCCGCTGCCCGCGCCCCGCCCGCTGGGAACTCGGACCCCGGGCCGAGCTGCGCGGAGGGCGGCGGGGCGCCCGGAGCGGGAGGGCTGGGGCGGTCGGATCCGTGAAGTTTCCATTTTATTTCCCTAAGGGGCAGTCTCGATGGAGCAATTAGGCCGGCTCTTTATCAACTTTGGCTGGGGGAAGGGGGGTGGCGAGCGTGTGAGACACTGTCTGGCCTGCGGGGTGTCTGGGGCCCGGGGTGTGTGTCTGGAGTGTGCGTGGCGCTTATGTCTCGGTCTGTGTGAGTGGGTTTCCTTGCGTCTGTGGAGTGTGCGTGTCTGTGTGTCTCTGTCTGGGTCTGGCGCGTCTCCGTGTCTGTCTGTGTCTGTGTGTCTGGGTCGCAGTCTGTCCCGGGAATATGTAGTCTTCCTGCGTCTCTGCCTGTGTCCGGGTCTGGGTGCGTCTTTTGAGTGTGTGCATCGCTTTGGGGGCTTGGGGACCATTTGTGTCCGGGTGTCTGAATCCAGGGCTCAGCGCTGGTGGGTCTGGCCGAAGGTGGATCCGGAGTGTGTGTCTCATTGTGTGAGTGTCTGTGTCCCCGACGCACCTATAAATAGCCTCTGTCTGGACAGCTTGGCTCAGCCTGGCTGGGACCGTGGTTACAAATGAGTCAAAGTTTGGGGCTGTCTGCGTTTGGGAGTGCCTTGCCCTGAAAGGAGAAGGTAGACCGAGGGTGGGGAGGGGGTGCTGAAAGCTTGGCACCAACTCGCCCTATACATCCAGAAGTTGAGACAAATAAGCCTCTACTTCCGCCACGCATAGCCCACTCAGGTGGAGGTTGGGTTGGGTGGAGTGCCTTCTAACCTGGACCCCCTCCCCCAGCCCATCCTTTTGGGGACCTCTTGCCTCTCGGGGCTTCAGTTTACCTACCCTCACCTCTAAGCCCCTGAGGCAAGGGAGCACACAGCCCTCCCCTGCAAGGGCCAGCCTGCTTCCAGCTGGGACCAGGAGTCAGAGGCGGCCACCACTGAGCAGGGCAGTCACTGGGTGACTCATAAGCCAGTTTCCGCAGGCGGCTGCCACAGTTTGTGGCCCCTGAGCTTGTACAGTGAGGCATAAGAGGTAAAAATAACCCATGACCGGTTCTGCTGGGGCAGGCTGGCCTGCTTTGGTGGTGGGCCCTCCCATCCATGAGTGCCCCCCTCCCTCCAGTCCCAGAACTGAAAGCCTGGCCCCCCCCCAATCCCCGAGCGCCCCTCGCCAGGCCAGCAAGGTGTGAGGAGAACCTGCCCAGAACCAGCGTTTGTGGAACTGAGTCGCATTAAACCAGATTGCTTCCCAAAGGCCCTTTGTGAACTCAGGAGGCTAATGAAATGCACGAGGATATTATTAAAATATGTTCGCACATGTTTGGAGAGGGCCTCGCCAGTGCTAAATGGATTGCTGTTTCAGTACCCTCGGTGCCTCATTTTACCCCTTCGGTAAAGGTGCCTTAGGGGACTCCCCACCCCAGGGATCCACGCTGTTGTGTAGAACTTGACCATTATGAGGACTGGGCATGGGCATTTTGCTCTTGGCCTTCCTTTGTGTACAGGACTTAAAAAAAAATTCATTCTTATTCCTGTCCCTTCTTGGGCCCTTCAGCCCTGATGATGTTCTGGCCGACACCAAGGTGCTGTTAAATCCGTTGCCTTCAACCTGTGTGCTTCCCTGGGTCGGGCATGTGAGCAGGACCCTGGAGGTTAGTGCCTGGAACCCTGGCCTGCTCCAGCTGGCCCCAGGGTGGAACATGAGTCACTGTGCGCGGTGTATTTTTTACACACGGCCCCCTACTTACTGGAAGAAAGCCCAGGGCAGGAAGGGAAATGATCTTTAAAATGCAGGTATAATGTAACAGTTTGTTGCAAGTGCTAATCAGATTTCCCCGAAAGGGTCTGGTGAGGAAGCCTGAAGGCCTGGAGTTTCTTTGTACAAAAAGATGGGGAGGAAAATTTGAAGTGTGGAAGGAAGGCCACATTTCACATGGTAGGAGTTGGGGGTTGTTTGCGCGCAGAACATCAAAGATGGATTCGGAGCTGGGCTGTGGGGCAATGTCCCGGTGGCCCTCGGTAGGTTCCTTAAGCTGCCTTAGTTTCCTCTGAAAAATGAGACCCTGACGGTTGGGCTCGAAAATTCTTCCAGCTTTCAAGATGGGGCCTCTGCCCTCCACAAAGTCTGGCTGGAGGCCCCAGTGCCAGAAATGGCTCCCCTCCCCTTGAACAGCACTGGGTCCCTAGTGTGGCGCTCAGTTGCCCTAAATCTCAGAGCTGGGTGGAGCCTTGGCCAGCTCAGGTTTTAGAGATGAGGGAAGGTGGCAATGGAAAGCTTTGCCCCTCGGTCCCGAACGCACCCTGGACCCAGACCCAGGGTTATTTCTCAGGAAGCGCACACTCTGTCTCTTGAATTTGGAACTTGGGCCCCACAGGGGGTCCCTCCTGAACTTGGGGGCTGGAGGAAATCAGCAGCATCCCCCCCACCCGACCCCCGTTGCACTTGGGAGGGTGGGAACAGGTCTGTCTCCAAGGAAGCCAGATAAAAGATACTGCGAGCACACTCCAGGGGCCCCAGTTTTCTCTGAGAGTCAAGGGGTGAGGGATGCTCTCTGATGGGAGTTCACCGTTCCCAGGATACCTCACAGAAAAATATGCTGTTCTTTCAAAAAGCCAGGGGTCCTGGGGTTAAAAACAGCCGACTCCAGTGACAGCCCGCCAGAGCTGACAGTAGCGAGTTGGCCAGGCGACTTTTCAGGAAAGGGTTCCTTCTGGCATGCGTGTTTCTTGGCATTCTTGTTGACCTCTTTATAGGTCTGTCTCTCTTAGAAACTAGCCCCTGTCTTTACTCAGTTATTTCTCCGGGGGGCCGGAGGGCGGAAGGGAGTTGCCGGGAGCTGAACCTCAGTCTCCTTCAGAGATCAGCCCCAGTGAAGGCCCGTGGTCGCGCTCAGACAGAGTTGGCACCTGCCTGTCATTCCCTTGGCCTTTATTGAGCGCCTCGTGTGTACCACGCAGGAAGGACGGCGGCTCCGTCTTGAGGAGCTTCCCGGTTTTCATCTTGGATTTGCATTTATTAGGAGGAGAGACTCTGGCACTGAGCAAGCTTAGTTATTTCAGGATTTGGTTTAAACTGTGGCCGTCTAGCTCGAGCTATTTCCCCCATGGGCCCTCTGAGCGGGGACTTTTAACCCACATGTTTTCTGACTGTCTGGGTTTTAGGTTGAGGTGCAAATCCTAGACTGGACCTCAGGTCAGGCAGTTGGCCATGGCTCCCCAGGAGGTCTGGCGCAAGCCAGCCACACCCCCCAGCGTGGCCCAGGGTCAGGGCCGAACTTAGTGTTTGTCAAGGCAGAGAATAAGTAATTGCTCCTGCGTGCACGCACGCAGTCTGCCCTTTACGTTGTACAAACCGGTGCACTCTCCCTTGGAAGGAGAAGGGAAACGGAGCGGTGTGTGCTGCTGCCCCGGAGCGGAGGTCCGTTGGGGAGGGTCGAGGTGGCCGCACCTTTAACAGGACAGCAAGGTGCACGTGCCCCACAGCAGCCCCGCACCTGCCAGCTCAGGTGCTCCCTGTACCTGCCCGCACCGTGTCCCGGCCCGGGGCGCGTCCTCGTTCCTGGTTTGCACGGTGGTTAACATGTAAAACTGTGTTGTAGAGGAGCTTACGAGTGGTGGGGCCCAAGCTGGAGGGGCCACGTGGCTTTTCCTCTTCGGGTTTTTATCTCGCGGTCTGGGGTCCTGCCCGAAGAGAAGTAACTCTTACAAGTGCAAGTTGGGAGGCCGTGCTGCCGCCGGCCAGGGGTGCTTGTGTGGCGCGCGTGCTGAGGAGGCGATCAAAGCCCAGGGCCTGCTTTGTGCTTCTTAAAAGGTGTCGTGTGCCCACATGCATGCACGTGTGTGTGTGTGCGCGCGCGCGCACGTGCCAGTGCACAATTAGGGTCACTCGTGGAGGCCCTGTATGCTGGCATGCCCGCCCCTCTTTGTGCACCCGGGAGCGAGGAGGATAGCCCCGCGCTGTGCCCCAGGCTTCCTGCGGCCAAGGAAGCGTGGCTCGGGGTGGGTGGGCTACAGAGACCTGGGGCTGGGAGTCCTGCCTGAGGGGACAACCGCCACGTGGGCCCTGTGTGGCCAGACCTCTCCGTTTCAGGGACCCAGACGGCTGGATTTTGATATAAAACTCTTGGCTTTTAAGTATTGGCAATTCTTTTTCTTCTATTGCTCTGAGGGCCCCACGACACCTGCCCACAGACCTGATCTCTCTGTGGGTTGCAGTGGGTCAAGCGTGGGACTGGGGCCCAGGGAGATGGAAGCTCAGCCCGGCTCCAGAACTTACCGGTTGTCCTGTGGTGCAAGTGGAAAGCGGGGTAACAGGAGTTCCTGTGTGCTGGGGGGCTGTGCCTCTTCAGAGGTTATTCTTGTGGAGTGTGGCCTGCTGTCTGCGCAGCTCTGTGTTCATGGGGGTTGGTGGTGACAGTGGGGGAGGACTGGTCTCAACTGTCTGCTCTTGTCCTGCTCCCTGGCGGTCACTGCCGGAGGAGGAGGCTGGCACGACAAAAAGGTTTCCCCGTCCTGGGGCTGGGGTGCTGGCAGGAGCGGGAATGTTGGAATAAACAGGCCCATGTGGGGACCGTGACCTTGAAGGTGGAGGGACTTGAATATTTGCCTTGTCCCTGCCAGGCCCACCGCAAAGCTGGCAGGAAGCCCCACAAGGTCTGCCAGGGACCCCCTTGGGTTCCCGCCGTCGACTGCCAGCTTCGGAAGCTGGGGGCTGGGTGGGCATGGGAGGCACAA